CTTTCTTGCCACAGTTGTTAAGTGAATCACTGCAGTGAAGTTAGCAACATGGTGGTTCAGGTAATTTGGCTTCCCCATTGACTTAGCTCATCAGAAGGTGGCAAAAGTTGATCACATGACCCTGGGACACCCGCGACTGTCACGAGTCAGATGCCAAGCACCTCAATTTTGATCACGTGTCCATGGGGACTCTGCAACTGTCATGTGAAAAATGGTCATAAGCAGCAGTGGGATCCTACCTTTTCCACCACTGGTTCGGTGATCACGCACATGCATGTGCATGCACCTAACACGCATGCGCAGCTTTCCCCACGCCAGCTGAGGCCTGCAGCGCCAATCAGCTGAGAGGAGAAAGAAGGGGAAAGCGCAGGGGCAGGTGGGAGGGGCCGATCCTGCGCTTTTCTCTTCTTTCTCATCTGAGCTGATTGTTGGAGGCTTTTTTTTACTACCTGTTCAGCCGAACCGGTAGGAGTTTTTGCTACCGGTTCAGCTGAACTGATCTGAACTGGTAGCATGCCACCACTGGTCATGTCACCTTTTTCAGTGCCGTTGTAACTTTGAATGGTCGCGAAATGAATGGTTGTAAGTGCTTTCGTAACAAAATGGAAGGTTGTCTTTGTAGACTTCTTAATTCAACTCACTTGCTAAGTGCTCACATCACACCGCACTAGTTCTCTTAAATGTTCGATACCGTGACTTCTGAAATGATAAATTGTTATGACCAACCTTGTGAATAAAATAGTGATACTATTGTTAGGATTTAGACAAAAAGGTTTAGTCATTTCTCAAAACTCACTGGAGGTTTCCTGTCCACTGCAAGATTGCCCAGGTAAGGCTGGAACAAGCCTTGACGAAATTCCTGGTTTCCACGTTTTGCCCACAGGAAGAACCTGGTCAGAACTCACTCCCTTTGGGCTTCTCTCCTTGCTTACCACAATCAAAACTCCTTCTAATTTTGCTTCTTTCTTTTCAACATGTTACCCTTTCTTTTAAACTTGCTGGAAATTTACTCTTCTTTTCCTTAGCAAAGCATCTGCCATATCCCTCAGGCAAAGCAGCTCCATTTTATAGCATGTCTTGTTGCAAGTTTCTCTGCATCCTCCTTAAAACGTCATGCCCACAAGTTGAAATGAAGCCAGCTTCTTTTTCTCAACCAGTTTGCGGCTGAAAGCAGTGACAGATGTGTGAAGAACATTTTTGGCAAAATGCCAAAGACTTCGTGGCCCTGGAAAAGTCTTGTCTTCCTTTCATCCTTGGCCCTATTTCCCCTCTTTATTCCACAAGTCTCCTGTTGTCATCTATCAAACAATTTCGGTTGTTGATACAGCGGCCCAAACAAGAAACCTGCTGCTCTTTTAAGTTTGCAGAAGTTTTTTTAGGCCCTGCTTGTAGCTACCTGGATGATTTTCAGCAAGACATTTGTGAGTCTTAAGTGAAAAAGAAAAAAAGGAGTGCACCATAGGAAAAGGCATTTTTCCTGAAGGAACTGAAGACTAACTTGTACCATGAGAGGAAGCCAAGTTGCTCCCTTCAACATGCAGTCGACTTCTCTCCTCCTACCTAGCAACAGGCTGCAGACTTGTATATTTTCACCACCAGTTTTCTTAAAGGGTTGCTGTACTGTCTGGCTATAAAAGCACCCTGAGGTGTTTGTTTTTCATTTTCCCTCAAGTCTTGCATTGTGCTAACCAAGTGGTATCCTCAAGTCTAGGCCAGGAAATCTCCCTCTCCCACTAAATACAAGAGGTAGAAGATCTTAGATTTGCTGGCTACTTAAAAGACAAAATTACTCTTGCAGATGGCTGCTTCATCTTAGTTTAACTGTTCGCCATCCTGCAGTGACAGCCAAGATTGTCATCCTCTCACCTCTCTCACCACACTTAGGTAGTGCTTTTGTTTCAACATGAAACTATCCATATCATGATAAGGCAATACTAAAGGGAAGTTGGCTATTGTTTTTCTGCTTACTGTGGAACTGTCAGAAATATAAAGTAAAGGTATTCTTTCTTAAAACTCTCACAAAAGAATTCTGCACTGTCTCGTCAACTAAATCCAGACAATATTTTCTCATCTTTCTATTTGAATCAAACAAATGTTCCATAGTTATTCAGTTTGGGGGAAATACTAGACAATCCATGACCCCCATTGGGTCGTTCTTCAATGGCTTTAACAATAATGTACTTGAAAAGTTCTTTAAAATTCAGGGAGATATTCAAAGATGTATTTCCATGAAAGTAGCCCATGTTGAACATTATAGCGGTCAAACACCGGGAGTTGACCACAGGCAGTGTTTTATCTTATATGATAAAATTCTCTATGATAATTATGTCACAAATTATTATATAAAATTTGCCAAATTTCAATTCCTCAGGAGCTATAGGTCATAACTTTTAAATGCATTCTGTAAGTTAGCCTATTTGAAGTACCTTGATTGAAAAAGTTTTGCCCTACGATGCGCCATTTTGCCCAGTTAAAGGTCACAAACACAAGAGTATTTAATACTATATAGAAATTAATTCACAATGCCAAATCTGGACTGTATAGTAGGTGGGTTAGGACAATGGTATCCAACTTCATAGGTGCCTTCTGAGTGAATGTCAGGTTGCAGCAAAAGTTCCTTTTTGTTCTGAACACTGGTGAATTCTTGTTTCAAAGTGGAAGACCTGATGTGGAAGACCAGGATGTGATTGAGAAGAGCTATTTTTTTCATGATGGCTTTAAGAAGTTTGTGCATTTTGGAAGAAGCATGTAGTGAATGGGGGTGATTAGGTAGAGAAGTAAATACAGGTAGCAAAAGAGCTTCCTTCAAAAATTATTTTCCTGTTCCTTATTAAAGTGGCCCTAAACTAAAATCATGAAGATGGAGGCATTTTCATTCAATCCTTGCATGAGTCTGTTTCAGGAGGATCCTGATGTGACATGAATGCAGATCATTTTCCCCCCTGAAAGCATGATTCATAGGAATCTGTTGTCTATTGAATTGCAGTTGGGATAATGTGATAATATGTGGAAGTGTCCTTGGGAGATAGGAGGAAGCTCTGATACGCAATTGTATTTCAGGGAGAGCTAAAATGGCTACTTCACCAATGGACATTTTAGCTGTGCAATCCCCAGCATCAACTGTTGAGCAGTTACCGAGAGTTGTATCAAATAAAAATTCATTCCAAAGGAATGAAAAAGGAGGGCAGGGGCAGAAATGAGATTATGGAAGCATCTACACTATATGGTGGGCAGAAGAGGATTCCTAATAGTGCATTTTAACTGCTGTAGAGTATGCGGAATTTCAACAAGTACATCTTTAGAGAAAAGGGTGGATTTTTACTTTGATTAAATGCAAATTTAATGGGAGAGAATAAACTCCTCCAGAAAGATTGAACAAGTGGTCTGAATAACATAATTACAGTTAAAGCAAAATAGTCAAGCTTCTCACGTAGCTACGATAATCCAGAAATGGATTGGAGAAAACCACTCTCTCTGCTCTTTAAAAAAATAAACAGATTTACTTTTGGGTACTCCTCTCCCAGGAGATAAAAGTTAAACTGAAGAAAACTTACTCGAGTACAGTGGTCCCCAACCTTTGGGGCTTGGTGGCCCGTGGGGAGAGGGGAACTGGCGTGTACGCATGTGCTGCTCAACTTGTGCAAGTAGCAAGCTGCTCTGCACACACATACACATGCAGGTTGACTTGTGAAGTCAAGATACACATACATGTGTATGCACCAGCCCATTACTTGTGCAACCTGGTTGCGAATAGGCCACGGCTCAGTAGTGGGCCACAATGGCCATGGGGTTGGGGTCCCCTGTTCTAGTACATTTGTTTGTTAGTTTGCTAGTACATTTCACTTATTGTTTCAAAGTAATAGTTCAGGTTGCAATTTCTCATAGATCTATGTATAAGGGATGAGTTACATATTTGTAGAGGAACAGAATTATTTGATTTGGATTTAGTGGTATATATTTAAAGCTCCACACAGAAATAGGAAAATTATTAAAGCATTATGAGTTATGCATTCAATTTACTAATCCAATATGCTGCAAGGAATGCTCATGGAATAGATAATGAATTTTTCTGTGATATCTATGACCTGAATATTATGCATTATAAGAATGGACAGTGTGCCCCTCCTGGCTATTATTGGATCATAGAACTCCTATCAATCTTTATAACTCACCTTGCCAACTAAGATGATGGGAGTTGGAGTTCAACATCTGGAGAATCATATTGCTCATCTTTTATTATATAGCTTGCTTGACGTAAACCTAAGTGTTCACAGCTACCGCCTCCTCCCCCTGAAACTACTGATCCAGGATTGTTTAGAGGTGTCATCCAAGTGCAGGAACAGACTGTATCAGACATTCCTGTTACGGGTGCCACAACTTGTGTTCAGGCAAGCTTAATTTTGAACCAACTTTGAACAGATGACTTGCCTGGAGTGGGAGAAAACCATTTGTCACAAGTAAGTGCATTTGCACTCAGCCTCATAATGTAGGACGGCATATATATTGGTTGTATGTAATTCTGTCCTACAGGGAGACAGACAGTGTCTAGTAAACTAGTGCATAATAGCCGCATTCTAATGGGGGGAAAAAACTCATGCAAAACTCCCATTGTAATCAATTAGATTTGCTCATACTAGTTGATATTTGTGAGAATGTCTATTTCCCATTCAGACACCCCTCAGCAGGGCCTTCCCAGGAAAGATTCTTTTAATTAAATTGTTGTTATATGTGACGGGTCAAGTGGTTTCTGTCCACAGAAGATAGGAAGTTTGCTTGTACTGAGTCAGAGACCATCGGTCCATCTAACTCAGCCCTGCTGACATATGATAGTGGCTTTCCAGGTTTTCAGTCAGAATCCTCCTCCAGTCAAAGTCAGAAATGCTGTGGATCGAACTGAGATTTTCCTGCATGCATAGCGTGATCTGCATCACGGAACTAAGGCCATAAATCAAGCTGAATCTATTTCCCATCCCCCAGATGGAGACCAGAATGCAAGATCCTGATTTTATAATAATATATATAATCTTCTCTTTAACAGGAGCATATTAACATCCGCAGACATTGTCAGAATATTTATCATTAGAATAACAATAATTAATAATAATAACAATAATAATAATAATAATAAAAAAATGGTAGGAGAGAAAGAGTGAGGCAAGTCTATAGTACACAGTCCTGTGAGGTCAGCACAGCCTTTGGGAGACTCCACTGCCACATCGTTCAAGTGCCCCCCTTTTATATTTACACACTTGCCTGGCGTCCGCACCCCCCAGCTAAGCTGGAGGGAAAACAGTGCATTGAACACAAACCCATCCACCCCTCCCCTCCCTCCCCTCCTCCCCAAACCTGCCTTTTTGTCTGGTTTGTTCCTTTTCCATAAAACTTCCCATCAGAAATACATTATTTACACATAAAATAAATAGAGCGGTAACCTGATTTGTGTTTGGCCTGCGGCAAACAGTCAGAGGTACTAGGGAAAGTATGGCTTGGATTCAACTCTGTACAGAACCGTGTGGGGAGCCGGGATCAGCCTGCAACCCCGGCATGGCAAAGCCGGGCACCTTGCATATTTCCGGGCCTTGCATGCAACTGCCAACCGTATAAGGAGACTGGCCCCTTCCACTGTCCCTTGGCCCTTTTGCCCTCCCCTCTAGCCATTTTCTGGCCCTAGAGCAGTGGTTGTGTCCCACAGTTTCAGCACAGGACAGGCACACCATCTGCAGTCACAAGCCGTCCTGTAGTGGGGTCGTAACTTCCTGCCAGGTAGTAGAGATCTTGCCGATCCTGGTATTTCTTGCTCCGGGTCAGCTGCTCGTAATGTTCACGTTCAACCACCTGGCACTTGTGAGAGATGGTCTGGACATCATTCTCATCCTCATGGCACGACTGGTACAGCGCATTCTGCAGAAAGGTCAGAAAGACGTATGAAGGACTATAGAGATAAATTGGCTTCCACTTTTAAGGGACAAAAATCCTCTGCAAAGACAGCAATTAACCAGCCGGGTGGCAATTCTCTACACAAATAGAATAACAGACTTGTTGGATAAGGTCTGTTAGGTCCACCCTTCTATTCTCACAGTGGTCAATTAGGTACCTACTGGTATTTGGCTATAGAGCATGAAAGCAAAACTCTTCTCAGGCCCTTGTTCCCTCAAAACTGGTCTTCAAAAGCAAGCTGTCTCCATACTGCCAAACTAGCATGGCTGGTAGACAGTGATAGTCTCCATTATTTGGTTTTTTCACCTCAAATGATGTCTGTCACACTAACTTATAGCAGTATTTTTTATCATTTGCCCATGTACTAAGGAATAAGGAACAAATATTGCAGGACTCTTATCAGAGGTTCCTTATTTTGGGGGGGTCTTTTGGAGTGGGGGGTGGGGCGAGGCCTGAACCTGCCACTATTTTTAATTTGTAAGATAATCTCAGGTTTTTAGTATTATGATAGAGGAAAACTTCTCTTTCTCCCTTGTTTCCACTCCAAGCACAATCATATTCTCGGCTCATTTCCTCCTCAAATTTGTTTTGTGTTATAAAATTCCAAACACTGCAAATTTCCCTTATAAGAGAATTTGCAGAGTGATATGAAAATGGTTCCCAAATCTTTTCTTGGTTATGTCCCAGTTGAAAGCACTGACCAAGTAAGCCAGAAAATCCAATTGATTTTAGTGTACATCTATGTGCATGTGTGGAGCTGGGAGAGTTTACCAATGTTATCTGAGAATGCTGGTGTTTGCTGGCTGGCTCCTGGCTTTTCCCTTGTAAAATTGTAATGTTGCAGTATGTGAAACATGGAACAAAGGGAAAGGCAATAAATCCTGAAGGGCTAGCTCGATATACTTAGTTCCAACTGAACTTAAAGTGAGTTACTCTCAAATATACACAACTAAAAGCGTAGTACAGTAAACTTAGACGTGCTGCTACTGAGGAAGAGATGACAGATTCATCCCCCCTAAAGAGATGTCTTCTATAGCTCCTTTTTGCACTCCTGTAACATAGGCAGGGCTAGCCTTATAAGAGCCACTTCCTTTTTACATATGTCACAAAATCAACCAAAGTAAAGAAGTGGACAGGGAGGGAATTGTGGCCGAGACAAATTACTAATTCCGCTAACTAAAGCATATCAAGGGATGATTTACTAATGAAAGCAGAAGTGTCCATTTGAATGGTCATAGATCAACCACATCATTTAAGAGGAAGATTCTATAAGGAAACCCTGCTGTAGTCATTAAAGAAAGCCTAATTACTGCCAGTCGTCCAGTGATCTCTCTGGAGGTCCTGATATTTGTTCTGCTCCAGCTCATTATGCCTTTTGATCCAGCACCAGGGAGGACATTCCTGTTTGCCCCGCTCTGCTCCATTTGAAGGTTTTTTCCCCCTCACCTTGCCATCGCTATGTCGCTTGCCCAGCTTCGTCTCCTCGGGATGGTAGAACCATTTTACTTTGACCACCATGTTGCTGCCCCAGGACTCCCACATGCTTTCAATGCGGCCAATGTAGGGCAGATGGGGTCGGCCGGCTGACAGGAAAACCGCACAGTCGCCAATGCGCAGAGTCTCCTTGCCCCGTACAATTGCTTTGTAGAACAACTTCCGTGCTTTCCCCTTCATGCCACGGCGCTGTAGGACAGGGGATAGAGCATGCAGAAGCAGGGTAAGCAGTGGCCTGCGTGACACCCGGGATGCCCCCTGCCTCTTGGCTGCGAGGCCTTTGGAAGAGATCCTCGAGGGAGTCTGTGGGTTGCCATGGAAACAAAGCCCTCTAAAGGGGAGCCTCGAGACAGCAATTGAGCTTAACTATAGCAAAACCAGGCTCTGCTACCAGGAGACACCCCCCCCTCCACAATGCTTTTGCTTGAGGAGGCCCGAGAGAGGATAACCAAGGAAACACAAATGGGGTTGGCAAATGCCTTATACATCCTGTACTGCTGTCCTAAGGGGATTTACTGACATGGAGTGCAGCCCAGGAATAAGCCTCCTAGAGCGTGTCTGGCACCTCACGGGAAATGGCCATGCTTCGGCTGTCCGAAAGAGCCAGAAGGAGAGCCCACTGCGTCTGCCCCAGCCAGGTACAACTGCAACAAACAGCCTCCGCTCTGGAGAAAAAAATGATTCAGGGGAGGCTGTTAGTTGGGGAAATAAAAACCCTTTACCATCTTGCACTGGTAGCACATTTGCAGAATGTGGCCAGTATTAGAAATTTCCTATTTAAAACAGGGAAGGCTGCCGATTATCAGCTGGTAAGCCACAGATCTTGTTAGAACAATCCCTGCTTGGTTAAATATGTCAAAATAGGGAGACCCTTTGCTCTCCTGCACATAGCTTTATTCCTTTTTGCATGCAGTGAGTGAACAGACAAGCCTGGAAGTGCCTATTAACTATGATTTCCTTTTTAAAGGCTTCAGGAAAAGCCATAAAATCATGGTCTGAAAAAGGTTTTCTCCAACTCCGTAAAGGTTTCCATTAAACTGGCGATTATAGCTGAAGGAAGAACTTCTGGGGTTGTTTTCTGCTCAAAAGAGGTACAGAACAGCTGCACGCAGATACTCATTTGTATCTTGGATGCTGAGCAATTCTGGGGAATTGTGCAGCTGCTTTAAAGGAATGTAGATATGAGCACCACGTGCCTTTTTGCACATGAGCTCAGCACAATGCACAGCCCAAACATTTATAGAATAAGCAAGTTTGCTCATTTTTAGTGGGACATCTTTCTGAACAAGTATGCTGAAGACTGCGGCAAAGTGCGGCATGAGCATTTCAACTAAAACAATGTGAAAACAGGAATTCACAGTTCTTTTGTCAACAACTAGAGAAAGGGAAATTGGTCTTTCCTTTCTGATCAGCAACAGGAAGATAGTTTGAAGCTGGGAGGAAGCTTCCCAAGTTTAGCCTCTCCTCCTTTCAAAAATCACCGAGTGACTGGGATCAATAACCAAATGCATGAATCACTTCCTTCCAAGCATTTCCTTCTAGCCCTGTCCCAAGAGTTCAGGCCAAAAACCTTCCAGAACTACCTTCAACCGTATCATTTTCCCTAGCAAGCAAAGCAAATTTAAGCCACTTCCCTCAGCTTGCATTATTATGTAGTCCAGACTCGCTAGGCAGAATCCTGACGTTTTCCATACCTGAGTGGGGTTCCCAGACCATTTCCAGAGCTGGCGTGCTGGCAGAAAAGCAGAGATCTTTGGCCGGTTTTCCACCGAGGGCAGCCGTTGCCGGCGGGAGAACTCTTTGGCTTTAGAGAAGCTCAGAGTTTCTTTGCGCCTGAGCTTGCTCTTGGCCCCAGCACCAAAACACCTCTGCAAGGTGCTGCTCTTTGAGCGCAGGGCTTCAGACTGAGCCAGCAAGGCTGGAACTGGGTGGGTGAGACAGGTCTGTACAAGGAGCGTGGAGTCCTCATCGTCAGAGCTGTAGGAAGAGTCCTCGTTGTCGGATGAGCAGAGGCTAGACGTGGAGCCAGATCCAGAACTGGAGGAGGTGGACGATCCAGAAGACGAGGAGGAGACTGAAAGCCGTGTCAGAAAGCGGGAGGGGACGCTGCCTGTCAGATCATCCACCTCGTCTTCGTCCATGTCTGAATAAGAGCTGTGACAATCGCTGTCACAGTGCAGCCCATACTCAGTTTGACCAGTGTATTTGCGCAACGCCAGCCCCATAGGCAGCGTGCTCTTCTTCTCTTTGATCCCCAAGGCTGGGTGAACGTAGCCGTGGCCAGACAGGGACCCAAAGTCCTTGTCGCTCATCAGTAAGGCTTTGCAGTTTTTGTTTTTGGGGGACGTCACCCCCTCGTGATCCAGCTTGACCAGATACTCGCCACCAACTTTCCTGCGCCCAGCCTTGCCCAGCTCAGTGTCCAACCGCTCAACTTTCTTGGCACGCAAAAGCTTCTGAGCACAGGGCAGGATCAGGCCAGAGCTCCCAAAAGCAGAGTACGAGTTGGCAATGCGGCTGAAAGAGTCAGAGCCAAAGCCATTACCAAAGATGGGGGCAGCAACACTGTGCACAGGGAAGAGCACTTCTTTGGCCCGCAGCTTTTTGCTGCTCCCATTGAGCTGGAAGAGGTTTTGCCGCATGGCTGTGCCCTTGCTGGAGGCCTTGCGCTTGTTCTGGGTCACAGTCGTCCAACTCAGCAGAGAGTTGCTACGACGACTCAAGAAGTGGTCTCCGGGCTGGGCTTTTGAACTTGAATGCAGCATGTCAGGTTTACCTGCAGGGAAAGGACAGAGTTAGAAAAGTACTGGTGGAGGCTGTCCCCTGTGCTATGGAACTGGTTCAAATCTGCACATGGCCTTTCCTAAACAGCTTCCTTCATGTTTAGAACTAGAGAAACAGATTGCAGAAGGGGGAGCCCAGAAGTTCTTAGGTCTGATCCTAACTCCTTCTTTTTCTCCCAGGTCAAGCCCTTGATGTCCCTGACCTTTCAAATTCCATTTTGAAACAAAATATGTTACATTTCCGGAAAGAGAGAGTGTGCATGTATGCATGCGTATGTGTGACACAGAAAGAGAGAGAGAGAAAGAGAGAGAGAGAGACAGACAGACAGACCTAGGTAGTGAAGTAACTATTTAAACCAAGAATTCTACAGATTATTCAACTCCCTAGGATATGTTGTGGCCAACACAGGATGTATTACCTTCACTTTAAATGGATTTCACTTTCTCTTAATGATATGAACCATTAGCCAAGTCTGACTGGTACACTGGTATGTTATCAAATCTGATACATGATCCCTGAATCCAAGTTGAAATCAGTGAAAATGTATAGAGCAGCAGCTACTGACATAGCGATTATCAGAAGGCAAAGGAATGATTGTGAACAGTTATCAAAGGAGGTTGGTTCAAGGCTGTTGTAATTTGAAAAAATAGAGGTGCTAGTGAACAATTTACAGGGACTGGCGTAAATATTGTCTTCCTTGTAATTGATTATTTTCCCTTAAATGTGATGTAGACCTTCTGTAATTATAGCTTTAATTTCCTTGCCTATGTTTTCTTTAGACATTTGCCCATCAAGTCCTTGCGGCATACTAAATAAAACCTTAAACCTGAGAGCCACCAACGTGTGTATATTTTATAATACTGCAGCTTATTGTGACCTTTCTATTTCATTGTTAAAAAATTATGTTTTTGCTAATGTTCTATTCTGATTATTTAATAATACTGTAATTTAGGGCTGTAGTCCTGTCTTTTTTGTTTGTCTCAATCAATGTATAATGTTATACACATGCATACATAATGGAAAGTTGAAGTGTGCCTGGCAATTCATTTTTACATTATATTTTTCACTTCTCTTCTTTTTGAATGACTGAGGATTTATTTTGAAGGTTTACTTTGAATCAGAGATGTTATTTTTTGTCATCTCCGTAGGCCGGAAACTGAATATAGACATTTAAAAGACAATTACCCAAATTTAAAATGAATATAAAAATTCAGCCTGTGACCAGCCATGATTCTCAAGTATAATTTTGAGCAAATCATATTCTAAACTGAATTTAAGTTCACGGGCTTCTGGCAGGTTAAGGTGGGATAATAAAACTCTTGAAAGAAATGCAAAAGGGACTGACTTACCAGTCTTCTCCTTGCTGATCATCTTCTTACTTGTGCTTTTGGTTGACTCAGAGACTTCACATCCCTCAGCACAAAGGCTTGGTGCTGATTCGCTGGAATGGGGAACATCACTGGAAGACCTTTTGTTACGACGGCAGGAGGTGGACACTAATAATGCAGGAGAAGGCTCTGTGCCTATAGAAGGATAAAGGCAGAAGCGTCACGGGCAGATTCAGACGAAAGATCATTGTCTCATCTCAGTTAAGATTTCACTTCCCCCTGACTTCTACTTTTAAGCGTATGCGTCTCTCTAGCCTAGATGCCGGCAAAATATTCTGTGAAGCTACAAAAGATTAATGCTATAATAGCTATATTTGTCAGTTATTAAGCTGCTACTTGAGTTCTGCTGCTGCACCAGATAAATACCAACATTGCTCTTGAAACTGCTCCCAAGCCGTCTACAGGTAGTCCTTGATTTACAACCGGTCACGTAGTGACTGTTCAAAGTTGTTGTGACACTTAAAAAGATGACTTCTGATTAGTTCTTATGACTATCGCAGTGTCCCTGCAATTGTGTGATTGCAATCTGGCTACCTGGCAACCGGTTCACATTTATAATGATTGCATTGTCCTGGAGGGGGTCACGTTATCACCTTTTGCTATCTTCCCACCTGGCTTTTAATATGCAAAGTCCGCGGGGAAGCCAGCTGGGGAGGTGAGTAGTCATGGTCCTATGATGTAGCATAAAATCTGGTGGGATAACATGATGCCTCACTTAACATCCGGACTGCTTAATAATAAACTTTGTGGTCCCAATAGTGGTTGTAAGTCAAGGGTTACTTGTACTTTTGCTGATATCCACATGAGATTTCCGCATCTGAGATAGGCAAGATCCTTCCCATCCCACTGCATAGAAAGTCAGGCACATTTTGTGCCCATAGAATGGCTCTTAGAATAATTCAGCAATATTTCAGTTAATTTTTGAAGGCTCCCAGCAAAATACTATCATATGGAATCACTAGTAGTTCATGAGGACTAGCAAAGCATGACAATTGTAATTCAAGCATTAATCCATTCAAGCACACTTACACTGGATTTTGAAGTCTGGTGGCAACATGCGGATATTAGACAATGCAATGTGGCCAGTGTCTCCATCATCAAATTCTACCAACACTGATTCTGCATCTTCCTCTTCATCACTTGAAGACCCTGTGGGCAGAAGCCATGTTACCTTCCAGGCCAGCTTCTCTGTAGGCACCGAAGATGATCTGACCCATTGATTTGGTTACCTACAGCATACTTCCACTTATTCCCCATTATGAGATCATTATTTACCAGCTTGCTCACCTCGAATGACATTGCCTGGATAAAGGCAGCGAGACTTCTGGCTCCAATAAGCACAGACTCGTGTGCCAGGTGGAAGGCTGCGACTTGACTGTGGCTGTACATCTAGAACCTGGAGAAAAACAAAGGGCACGATTAGATCACCACGTTCTTAAAGACACTGAAGAGACTATCCAGTACCAAGCCTAGTTTATTTTGTTTCATCATGCAGTTATGGTGACAATTTAGCTTTAGCTCAACCAAGGAAAATTACAGATTGCAGTGATTTTTTGCCTTCCTTTGGCACCTGCTCTTCTCTCATGATCATCAAACAACTACTTTCACTTTTGCCTTTTCCCAAGATATCATTGAGTGCATCCTATTTTTCTAGCAAGAAGGCTTCTTGTTCTTCAAACTCTACGTTTTCCAGATATTTCATTGGGATAAATATTAATTAAGAGTATTTAGAACCAAGCTTGTGGTCTTGGTATTTATGTTTTATTTTATACAATGGGTTGATGTGCTCTGTGCAGAACTTCTTGGCATTTGACTATATCGGATTGTCTTCTCAAAGGATGCACCTGGGAAATGAGAGGCCTGCTTCGCTCTCTCTATATGCGCAGTATGATTCACAAGTGAATACACAGAAGTGTGCATAAATGTCCCATTCCCCAGAAACTCTGGATGTCCCAGAGGTGCTCTTTCAAAAGACAACTGGACTTTCTTGTTTTTTTTTTCTTTGAAAATGTTTTGCTTCTCATCGAAGAAGTTTCTTCAGTTCTGAGAAGCAAAAACATTTTCAAAGGAAAAAACAACAACAACCAAGAAAGTCCAGTTGCCTTTTGGAAAAGCACCTTTCGGACAACCATAACCTGGATAATTAAGAATCTCCACAGACATTCAAGATATTGGACATGACTACAAACCGCCTAGGCCCCATGATTGCCCCCACCAGCTGTGGAGGATCATTTCTAGAAGACAGGTCAATTAGACCAACTTGATTCATCTGAATGTACATCATATAGTTGTATTCTTCTCATTTTTTTTCAACCTACCTAAATCCCTACTACCCAGAAGGCATGACCATCCCAGTTCTCTTATTACAGGTAATCTTCACTTAATGATCATTTGTTTAGTCACCATTTGAAATTACAATGCACTGAACAAAAGGTAGTGATCCTTCAACTCCTCTTACCTCTCTCTCCACATTTCTGCCCTTTTGGTCACCGTGCACCCCACTGCTTACCCTGATTCTCCCTGCTATCCTCAATCTACTTTACCATCTTCTATATCTTTTGAGGAGATACAATCAACCAGGGCAGCTGCTGACCCTCTCTGATATCTCTGTGAAGCATTGCAAAAGGCCATCAGCAGCCTTGGCCGAAATCAGATAGGGCAGGTGGCAGTGGTGGAGGATGGCCAAAAGAGCAGAGATTGGGGGGGGGGGGGGGGGTGGGTGGAGGGGGGGGGGGGGGGAGTTGGAGGCAGCCGCAGCAGGGTGGTGGACCCTTGTTTGCCGAAGGGAACTCTGGGCCAAACCAGGGAGAAGGCAGAGGGTGAAGCTGGCACTTTATGCAAGGCAGAAGTGTGAAGTCTTTGACTAACAGTCGTAACAAGAGCTGCTGCTGCTACTAAGCAGCATAGTCACATGATGTTTCACTTAATGACCCCCCTTCTAGTCCTGGAAATTCTGGTCCCAGTTAGGGTCATTTAATTAGCAAGCTTACTAGAAATATTCGGTGTAACAAATCTATGCACATTTGCAAAAAAAAAAAAAAAGCCACACTTCCTGCTCCTTATCCCTCAGGTAAGTCCTAGAGGTATTACTCCTGAGAGTCCAGCTTCTCTCCCCCTGCTCATGCCCGCAGCCAGCCTGATTAATCACAGGCTCTGATCTCCTGAGACTTACCGCCTCCTGCAACAGCTGCTCTTGGGAATAGATTCTCTGCCTATTCCCTCGCTCTCCCTCAATGACAATGCTGTAGCTGTGGAACAAATAAGTGACAAGCATTTACACAGATGATGATCTTAAGGGATAGCGAAGAAGCTAGCTTGGTTAATTTCAATAGTTATTTAAAAACAAGAAGCTCAATTCTTGGTTGGCAAGAGTCCTCCCTTTTGAACTAGAACAGTAATTATGGAAGTGCATGGTCCTGACTATTAGGTCCCAAATCATAGTGTAGCAATAGCAATAACTTAAGACTAATATACTCCTTCACAGTGCTTTACAGCCATCTCTAAGTGATTTACAGAGTCAGCCTATCGCTCCCCACAATCTGGGTCCTAATTTTACCCACCTCAGAAGGATGGAAGGCTGAGTCAACCTTGAGGTTGGTGAAATTCGAACTGCCAAATTGCAGTCAGCCGGCAGTCAGCAGAAGTGGTCTGCAGTACTGCACTCTAATCACTGTGCCACTGTGTAAATGTTTAAAATTTAAGAAAGAAATATTACACTACTCTACTCTCCAGATGTGCTGAATTGTAACTCCCATTTCCCAACCCTATGAATAAGATCACTAAATAGGGCTAACAAACAATTTCATATATATTTACTCATGCTCTTTGTCCTGAGTTTCACAGAATTCAGTAGGATTTACTTACAGATAAAAAACCCAGCCCGAGAATTGTGTTGGAATACTTTCCGTGAATCCTACTTTAGACCCAGCAAAATGCTTTGGCGTCCGTGCATACTACAGTTTCTTTTTTTATGAACAAGGGCAACAGTTTGCCCAAGATCATATAAGAAAGCCAAAAGGAAGAGGAATCAGGATGCAAGTCTTTCCAGACTCAGTCCTTGGAACCAGATGGGATCTTGAGCAAATGCATTTTTCATTCTGATTAATGGAAAGAGGAGGAAGAAGGCACAGGATTTGATCTGGGAGAGGACAGAGATCGCCAATTAACTCTATTGGCAGATGAGGAACCAGAATGACTGCAGCAGTTGCCTCTGTGTTTATTATCATAAGAAGTATCTGGGTTTCTTGTAATCGGTTACTGCAATTGTCTATAAGCATTATAGAAATGTGGGATAATAAGCGATAAGGTCCTGGAATGCAAAAAAAAAGGAAATGCTTACAATTCTAAGTAATGGATGCATTATACAGTATCAACAGCAATGGAGCCTACTGATCTTGAAAAATCTCACTATGGTGTCCTTTGTCCATATTTATGCTTAGGAATCAGCTCCTTACATGTCAGGTGGCTGCAGACTCTTCACGCTGCCGGCGTAGAGCAGACTGTCCTCTTTGGGGATAAGCACACGCAGTCCCTCCTGAAGGTCTTCTTTGAGGATGGTACAAGACTGGGCTGCAGCCATAAGACAAAGCACGAATCCACGGTTAATTCTCTTCCTCACTTTTTTTTTTATATTGGAAAACTTCAGGCAGAGATCAAAGCTTGAAGAATTAAAGCCTGAAGTGTGGCACACACTGCACCGTCCAGCTTTGATCTGCACAACCCCACTTCAATTTTCTGAGCTACCTTGCCCTCAGAGTTCACTTTAGGAGCTACACATTCCCACTATATTCCAGCTCTAATGCTTCTTCTGATCATTATCCTTGTTTATTTTTGTTCTCGACTACTCCATTAAATGGCTAATAGTAGTTCTTTCACCTGGACTATACTAGGCCTTGTTAACTGCTTCACCCAAGAGTACTCTTTGGTCATGGTATGTGCGGAGACTTACCAGAGATCATATCTTCCTCTGTACCAGCGGGGGGCATCTCCTCCTCTTCAGAGAAGCTGCTATTGTCATCAAACTCAAAATGATCCTCAATGGCAAAACTCTCCATCAGTCGACTGACTGCCCGGCCTTTGCACTGCACAGAAAAGCAAAATAGATTTCCTTGTTTTACAAAGGCATGCCTCTTAGGCACAAGGCTAACGTTAAACTGGCAGAGGCCAGGAATGGATTAAACAAAAGTCTCTCCTAGCCTCAGTTCATTCTTAGCCCATAGCATCACTCTGGCCCTTTGACTGAAGGGCTTAGCTTCGCTTGGAATAAAAGGGGCAGGATGCTGTGCCAGTGACACTTCCACATAAGATTCTGCAGAGCCCCGTCCACATGCATATTCTAATCTGAAAACTTCTACAAGTGGGCTATTATTTTACGCACCCACACACCACACAGTAACCCATTGATAGAAGTTTTCAGATAAGAGCATTGAAATCTCATGAGATTTCAGGGGTGAAATTGCTAACATTTTACAGACTATCTTAATACTACTTTTCAGTTCTTTTAAATGGTGCCTGAAAAATGCCCTGAGGAAGAGAGACCATCTTTTTTGCCTCCTTTATTGTGGGTAATAAAAGGTCAGCTGTATCTGACCTATCCAAGACCTGCACCACAGCAGGTATTTCACATTTCCTACCTGCTTGCTGACCACCTTGTTCTTAACCTTAGACAGTTTCTTGCCCTTGCTGAGGATGGCCTTGGCATTGCGAGGCGAGAGGGTCAGTGCTCCATTTTTTCTCTGCCCAAAGAAAATAAGGATAAAGTAATCAAACACAACATGCAGCGGACAAATATTTATATTACAGTGCAGCTACGTTGACAGTTATAACTGCAAAAAACGACCCTTTCCTTTCTCCACTATGGACCATATCCAGCCCCCTTTTCTGCCCCAGCTTACTCTGAGGGCCGATTGCAGTACTTTGCTCTTGCGTGTGGCTTTCTTGAGACGTTCACTGCTGAGTTTTCCTGCATCGTCTCGATTTGCAAATGAGCGGGCCTGGCTGCTGGAGAAGAGCCCCTCAGCGGTGCTTGATGTTCCAGGTCCACAGTGAAACTCCTTGGTCTTACTCTTTAGTTTTTTCTTGCTAGAAGTCTCACAAGATCCCGCTCGGCATACTGGCACCTTTTCCAACCTCCCTAAGCCTGGCTTCACAGGCCGCCTCTTAATTTTCACTTGGCCTTCAGGACTGGGGATTCGACAGGGCCCTAGGTAGATCCAGAGATTATAGCAATGAAAAAAAAAATAGGCAAAGCAGAACAGGAAAAAAATGCCTCAGTGGATAAGCCAGTGTTTCATTTTGCTTACGCAGACTGCACTTCAGGCAAGTGTTAACATCATTAGACCGATTTTGAATAGAGTCTTATCAATTAGCAATTTGTGAGATTAACCAATGCTACCATTTTTATTTTTATTTTTTTTACAAATTGTGGCTCAGCAATATAATAGCAGAATCTGGCTTTTATAGACCCCAAATGCCCCTTTAACTGAAAGGAAGGATGCAGTGTAACTTAGAGACAGTTGATTCCAGGAAGACCTTTCACTGCCATCTTACTACATCCACGCTCAAGTGTAAATCAAACAAAATTATATGATAGTAGGTGGAAGGGCTGGATATAATTTCAGCCATTTCTTCATGATGTTCACGAGGCTTCATTGCCCTCCCCCTTCATTAACACGGATATATTCAGCAATTCACCAAAAAAGAGCTTTATTTCAATTCATTTCATTACCTAGCAAGCCTTGCCTCTCCTTTTTCTTCTTTGCCTTCTGATTTGCCTCCATTTTCACCACAGAAGAAGGAGAAGGGCCAATGACAGGAGGGTTCACCGTTACATGCATGGGGGAGCTGTTGTCACTCGTCAAGTTATCATCGCCGCCGCCACCACCATCATCACTTTCATAGTCTCTGTGGTGATTGTCATCTGTAAATGAGGAGCAGAGTCACGACAAATTGAGGCAAGGGGGGGGGGGGAAAGGGGGCCACTTCAAGACAAGGAGGATTCTAATACTTTGCTTCATCCTTCCAATATCACAAACTACTTATTTTCACCATCAAGGTAAAACCAAAGCCATCACTGCGTTGTTTCTAAGGTTAACACCTTAACACAGAGCTATCAAAAGGAGCGAGGCTTTCCAAAATCAATCTCTGCAGGTAGTGTTACCCTCATATCAATGCCCCACTTAGGACTCACTGGCTTTGGTTATTGCTGCAAGCCCTGGCGTGTAAGGAATCTGGTAAAGTTGTACTGGTTTGATGAGTACAAATAGCAGAATAAAGGTTATTAAAAAAACAACAACAGCCAACAATCTAAGAACTCTGAATATGTTTTGGCCGAGCTATTCCCTCCTTCGACGTCAGCCTCCCAACTGAACTGCCTATAAACCTCCCCCCCCCTTCCAATCCTGGCTTTTATATCCTGATTCTTGCCCCTTTGACAATGAGTCTTTGTTCTTTCGGCTTTGGGGAGTGGAAGCAGGATTTCTGTCTCAGCACTGCTTTCCTGATAAGATGCCCCAGGAGCTTCAGGGGAAGCCATAAGCCTGCAGTCAAATGAGAGCGGACATTGGCCCCACTAGAGGACATCATGTGCAGCTATTTTTAAATTTCAGAGCTTCCTCTGCCTGCCAGCAGGAAATATACTATGTGGCAAGCTCCTCACCAGAGCTTTGTAGAAGGGTGGATTCGCCTGGGAATGGGCCTGGGAGAAGCTAATTGTACTTGCACTTCCTCCGTGGCACGGTGGAGAGATGAATACCTGGGAGGCCTGTTAACTGGCCTGGAGCTCAGAAAATATCCATTGGACACTAATCCCCCTTTTGCTACGCAGGTAAACACCACTTGTCCCAAGGCCCGGGTCCACTTTTAGCAGCAATGGGCAGAACATGCTCACAACTGCAGGGTTGTGAATAGCATTCTCTTGTTTCCCATTATCAACTTTCCTTCCCAGGTGGCCAAATGATCCTTCCCTTCAATCTGAATGTCCCAAAGGTGCTTTTCCAAAAGGCAGCTGGACTTTCTTGGGTTTTCTTTTTTTTCCCCTTTGCTTTTCACCCAAGAAGCTTCTTCAGTTCAAGGAGCTTCTTTTTATCGGATGAGAAGTGAAACGTTTTCAAGGGGAAAAGCAAGAAAGTCCAGTTGCCTTTTGGAAACGCACCTTTGAGTCAACCCATGACCCGGATGATTGAGAATCTCCATAGACCTTCGGTCTGGAGTCGTACCTGCTTCAGCATTTCCTGGGCTAGGCTTGGCCTCCAAGGGAGTGAGATCCTGCTGTGGGTATTTGGGAGATGCTGCTTTGGAGCTCTTGGTTCGAGAAAGTTTCTTTTGGATACGGGTGCAAGGGATAGGCTCTTTCCGTCGGAAGGGACCAATGCTTGTGGGCAAGACTTTGCTTTTGACTTTCTGCTTCAGGTGAGAGGCCTTGTGTACTACTGTGGAAGCCAACTTGCTTTGCGAACTGCTCTTCTTGCAACGAACCTTCTCCTGCAAAAAAAAAAAGCAAAAGCAAAAATGGTAGAAAAGGCACAGTAATACTTATTGCCTGTTGTTTCCCTCTTGCTGAGGAGGAAAATCTATATTAGAATCGGGAACTTGGAAAGGATTGAAAAATCTTATCTGACTCTCCCACTAAGATACTGGATGCTGCCTATAACTAATAGATAAAAATGGACACCTAATGCAAAAAACACTAAAGTAGAAATGGCTAACTGGCTAAATGGCTAACATGGATACTGCCTATAACTGAATCTTGTTTAATGCTGTCTCAATGAGATTCTGAACTGTATACCAATTGCTTTGTTGGCAAGAATATGACCTTTGTTGGCAAGAATAAGACCTTATGACCTTTGTTGGCAAGAATAAGACCTTATGGTCTTATTTGCACGCCCCTAGTTTCTATTTTGTATACTAACAAGTAATGTTAATCTTTTTTTAAGGGCAATAAAATACTTGAAAACAATGACCAATGCTCCCTAAGCCTCCTGAGAAACTTATGATCAAGTGTTATTTTTATAGTTGTATTTGTTTAATAGTTGAGCCATGCAAATTCTGAAGCAAGGTAAATAAGCATAACTCATCCTACTAAACAGCAGGGGAGAGGTGTGCCATAAAATGTAAGATATAAAAGATGTGAATATTCCTCTCACATCTACCAAAAGAGCATCTGCCCATCCAGCTTTGGTTCATCTTAGGACCCTAAATCCTCAGAGCTGATGTGAGTATCACATTGATTTTAAAGCCATGGAAAGTCTTAGTTTTCTAAAGGCAACAAGTTATTTCTTCTCCAAATGCAATGTAGACAGAAAGATAAAGATGTTAAGGTATACTCACCTGGGAACTTTTGATGCCACTGTAAGTTGTTTCTGATATTTTCTGTTTTTTCTTCTTGGGCTCCCCTTCGGCCCTCAATTCTGTACACAGTAGAGATAAGGTGGTTTTCACAGACCTATGAATGGAAAAGAATACACAAGTTGGAGAAAGAAAATCCATTTTGGATGAGCTATTGAGAAGCATACAAGCCCAGGATCTAAGCTTTTTTTTTTTTAATAGAAACAGCCTCCAACAAACATACAGCAAACATACACCTGTAAAAAGACCTAATCTCTTTTAGTTCCATTTATTTAAACTTGTATGTTTTAGGCTGCTAGATCACTATTTACAGCCAACCATAGCAATCTGATAGATATGTTATGGGTATACATTAGATATTTACTCACACATATTCTGGATCCGAGTCTCATTGTTGTGGGGATCAGTATCCATGATTATTATTATGGTGCTCTTTTACCTCCAACTAGATATATTTCACCTTGTCTATGCATAGACTGATCATTCCTGAGATATCACTTCACATAAAGACACACTGACCTCCCTGACTGTCAACATCCAAAGTCTAATGTTCATACAGTGAAGAACAATAAAGCAGATCCAGACTACAAAATACAAATCCCCAAAAGGTGAGATGATATGTTTTCAGCATAACAGTACAGTAGGCATAAACACTTCCTATATGCTATAAATCATGACTTTATTTTGTAACTAATCCATTTTTTTCTACTCTGATGGACTTTACAAATGGCTCAAATAATGCCTCTTCTTCAGAAATAAATAAATGCATCTGTTTGACTTGCCCTTTTTTCCATTTACAGTTAGGCCTTGGAAAATGTTGCCACGTTTGACTCCTCCATTCTTCATTTACTGGCTTAACTCACAGTGAGGAGCATTGTAAGTTCTAAATGAAGAAAGAGGAGTCAAACATGACAGTCCTTCCCAGGACTAATTGTAAAAATGGAGACAGTTGCAATTAAATATGTGCATTAATTTATTTCTGAAGTCAGGTGTTTGAAGCAAAACTTTCTAAAAGTTCAGCAAAGAAACATGTTATATTTTAGAAGATAATGAAACAATTAATAATATGAAGGAAGGAAGTTATGGTTATTGTAAGTGTGAAAGCGTACTACTCCATCTTATTTAAGAATTGGATAATGGATCTGCTTTACTATTCTTCATTGTAAAGTATAGTCACAAATACCCTTTGTAATAATTGTTTACATCTCCTTTGCATTGTCACTCTATATGATTGTGATTTTTTTTGTTGTGAAAATATAAGGTATAAAAAGCTCAAGAAATATATTCCCGCTATACTATAGATAGTTCTGAGTGTATACTAAACACTAAGCTTTGGTGAGCACTATATACTCACAAGATTTGGAATCAAAGTATACGGTTATAGAAAAATGAAAAATATTTCCATAAATATTACCTAATACTGTATGAGCTATAACTTGGCCTAATATTTCCCTCCTCTTGGTAACTGAGAAGTAGCTGGGCCCAATGGCTCCTGGATGTCCTAGACCTGAATCTCCTACATTTTCTCTCTTTATACCAGAAAACTGCATAGGACAACATTTTGGAGGAAGTTTACCATGGATGGTACCCTACAATCAGTTTTCCAGTGATGATGACGACATTCTCTAGATTGGGTGGGGAATTATGGCCCTCTTATGACTTGTGGACTTCAACTCCCAGAATTCCTGAGCCAGTCAGGAATGGGGAAAGGAATCTGGTGGGCTCTAGGTAAACTGTCAGAGGAAATATGGTACCTAAAAATCACTTTTGTAGGTAATAATATTTCTGGCCAAACTGCCCATCTATGCATCCTGCTCACCTCCCACTTACTTTCTGGATGCATCCTCTAGCTGCTTCTCACTTATCCTTAAATCTTTCACATACATCAGCAGCCCATATATTTTTGGTCAGAAGGATACATTTGGCTTTAACATGACCATCCCAAATTATGTTAACATATATTCGCCTTGCACAACGCCACTGTAAGATGAAACTTGGAAGTTGCCTGATAAGAGCCAGCCTGAGAGAAGTTATTGCCTGAGGCAAAAGTTAATAGGATAAGCCAGACAAGCACAGACAGACTAGAGTGGTACATACTGAACTGGTATTTTCCATCACACCTGAAGTTCCAGGTCAGTTTAAAAGTTCAAGACAGGTGATAGGGCGTGTTCTGCTCCATGCCTCCAGAGAGCTTAGAGGAAGCGGCTGTGGCCCCACCAGTATTTGTGGCCTGTGATAGTTGCTTAACTCTGCTAACAATAGGGCAAACTCTGGCCTTGATCCTCAGGAATTGAGAGTTTTTTTGTTGTAAACAATGCGAATATCGCTTACTGCAACAGTATTCCCTTAAGGTTGTACGTGGAACAGTATGTGAAGGGAATGGGTTGGCAGGTGTAACTTTTTATGGCCTAGTGCCTTTCCCTTGATGCCTCTGTCTTAAGGTTTGGTATTCACAAAGGTTCTTACTTCTTCTGACTTTCAAACACAGAACTTGACCCCTCTTCCTCCCATCTCTCAGGAGCAAGAGGGCACAGCAGGAATGCGCTGCCAAAACATCTGGCTTCTATTGAATTTTACTGCTTCCTCAGGAAGCAGCTTGGATGAAGATGGATTTGTGATAGCCGTGAAAAAAAAAAAAAAGAACAAATTTCTCCCCACACATATAAGAATAGCCAGCGTTACTAAACATGTATGCACAGGCGCACATTTACTCCTTGCTTGATAAAAGACCCCACAAGAGGCGGCTTTCCCGTTTGTTTTGCAGAAAATTGGACATAAAAATTAGAGAGGGCATTTAAAAAACAACATCAAGCAAAGTGGGTTGTATGTTGCTCTATTCCAACCCTTTCCCAAGTACTAATAGATTTCCAGGATTTCTTATGGCATGTGGAGACTCAAAACTAAAGCAGACCACTGCTCTGAAATGGTAGACCCTTACCAGAATGACCAGTAGATTAATTAATCTTTTAAGAAAGAATCTAAAGCACGTCCTCTGTGTAAGAGGCATATGCAGGCTCACACGGAGACGTTTCTAAGGGGACAGCCACACAGTGTTAAATTCTCCTGCTTAGAAGAGGCTAAACAGATCACCAAGCATTGAACAAACTCTCCTTTACATATTTCTCTGTGGGGGAGGAGAATATGGCATAATTATTGTATATCCCTCCCACATGTCCCGTGGCTGCTCTACTTGAGAGGGAGGAGACATTCCTGGACTTCTCATGCCTTCCAGCAACTTTCTGGCTGCTGCTTTTGTTGCAACTCATTACTCTGCTAGCTACAGAGGGGGCTTTGGGACAAATCACCTCTTTCAGCTGGGCTGGGTGGCATTTTACGTGCAAAGAGATTGCCACAGGGACTGCAGGGCAGCGCTTGCTCAGACCACTCAAGTCACGACAGCAGAAGGATTGCTGTATTTGGAGGGTGGGGGAAATGAATTTCCACTGAGTTGGTTGGAGAGGGGTGGAGTTTAGGTTCGGACATGAATGGTTATTAGAGCTTAGAGGAACCGAGATTGTAGAAGAAGCGTTGGAATGTGTGTTAAAACTTCCCCTAATTCCAAAGCACTGAAACCCATCAATTGATGAATACTCATTGTGCTATTTACTTCCTTTTCTTTTTCTGAATACGATCCATTTTTTTTTTTTCCTACAGAAAATGTGGTGGGAAAGAATTGTAGAGAATTCTGGGAAAATAAGGAGCAGAGTAGGTTGCTGAAGGGAAGGAGGACAAGATAGGCACTTGCAGCAAAGGGAATTGTTACTGTGAGAAATGGTAAGTTATCTCATCTTGACCACTGAAAGCCTTGGAGCACTGCGCATTAATGAAATGAAAAATTCTGCACTACAGAATCCAAAGATAGTGACCTATGTAGATCATGCAAATTGAACATGTTTATGTGATCATATGTTGTATAATTTATTCAGGGATATTGTTATTTTACATAGGTTTTCGGGTTTTGCTGGTCATGGGGAAAAGTGCAGAGCTATGTAGCATCCTGAAATCCAGTTCCTATAATCACTGCGAATCTTGTTTCTAGGACTCGCATGGTTCCAAGTCTGTCTTTGCAACTTGAAGTACCAAAGAGTTGTTTGTGTATGTGACTCAAGATACAAAAAAGTAAGATTTTGCCCTTCTGTGGTTTTACTGAATCATGACATACTCAAAGTTGTGTTCTTATTGGCAGCTGCTGCATAAGCTCCTCATACGTGAAAAGATTCAACATTCTCATTACTAGTACAGTGCAACCTCGGGTCGTGAACGCTTCTGTCCACGACCAAATCAGGTGACGACCAGAATTTTTGGAAAAGTCTTCCTTCGGGTCACAAACACATCTTTGGGTGGCAACCAAACACAGCCATGGCGCTTTTCCCTGCCTTGGAGATTTCCCCTTCGGTGCCTTTTTTTTGGGGGGGGGGGGGGTGTTCCACGTATGCACAGTTGATAGTGCTTCTGGTCGCAACCAAATCGGGTTGCGACCGTAGCCCTGGAACGGATTACGGTCGTGACCCGAGGTTCCCCTGTACCTGCCTACGATTCTAGTTCCAAACTTTTTCTCTTTGTTCAGGGTCATTGTGTAGCCGCATCAGACAGGCTTGGTGGAATGAGATGGGAGTAAGATTAATCCCATCTGGAAGGTTGAAAGGCAAATGAAGGGATATGTGGCTTGATACTGAGAGAAAGGAAAAAACAACAGCTGATTGTACTTAAGTTGCAATCAATCCAGATAAGAAAGGGGAAGCAAAGAGAGAGGTAGCTACTCCCAATGACAACAATTACAAGGAATTAATTTGAGACATGTGGGCTGAGTCACCTTCTGACATCTAAATGACTGACTTCACATTACTTTGGCATTGCTCTCCTAGGTGTCCTCCTGGCAGAGTAAACAGGAAGTGAATTAGCACTCTGAAGGCTTTGTCCCAACTGCCATGGCTGGCTGGTTGCCCATTCGGATCTCCGATCCTTCTCAGCCCTAATTGCTCCACTCTAGCACCCAGGCTCCTAAGAACCAGCCTCTTGTTTGCTCCACCCTGCAAATACAGCCCGGGATTTGAAGCCACGCAAGCCCCATCTTCCCAAAGCAGCTTCTCTATTCAT